TTCAAATTTGAGGTATACCGACTAAGGAACATTGAACATACTTATGATCATGTGAAAAATAGCATAAATATTACAATATTATAGCAGTTCTCATTTGTTGGCAGTGGATATGTTCTCAGATCTCGTAGATTGTGCTGAACTCTCTCTATACTGTTTTTCTTGTTATGTATACTTGTGATAAAGTTTACCTTATAAGTTAGGCACAGTACAAAATTAGCACAATACGTAATAATCACCTAAAAATTATATCCATACTGAAATACAAATTATGTGGAGGAAGTCTGTCTGTATGTTTGAGACTGTTGACTCAGTGCTGTCAGTTTGTGGCTGAATGTAGATAACAAAAACCACAGACAGTGACTACGGACAGATAAGGATAGATTTCTAGTGGGAACAGTGTGGCACTTGGGCGTGACACTGCCCAAGCCCATATGACAGACAGCACACCACTCCATCTGGCCACAAAGGGTAAATACTTGGTTTTTATGAAGGATGGTCTTGCCTTCAGCCCAGGCTGGCCTCCATTTCTCCATCCTCCTGCTTCAGCCTCTGAGTGCCGGGGTGACAGGTGCATGTCCCTATGTCCAGCAAAGGTACTGACATTTTTAATTGGCTGTCGGCATAGGAGAACTTGCTAATCCCTCTAGATCATGTGCAATATCCACTGTAACTTATTATAGCAACTTTAATTAGAACGGTTTGCTTCTGGGGCTTTTATAATTCTCAACCTAATTTAGGGCAGATGATCACCCCTAACTTAACCTACTTCCCCTGTATCCATCCACTGGTAACTTAGGATTTCCTCTCGGAACACGTGTGGACTTCCTGGCCTCTCCAAGCCTTTCCAAGGCTCTTCTCCCTGCGTTGGCTGCCGTCTTCCATTCCCTTGGCATATTCTTCAAGGTTCAGCTTGGCTGTCATTCCAGAAAGTTTTTCTGTGCGTGCTTCTTGTTTTTTGCTTGACCCCAGCTGGATATTCACCTGCTGTCCATACATTTTCTTCACTGTGTCTGATACTTCTTGTTGGGAACATTCTTTAGGCACTGGGGGTGCCTGGCTGCACTGGGGGTGCCTTGTTGCTGTGGAGGTTGGCTCCTTTTGCTCTGTTTGCTCTCTAGTCATCCCACTCAAAATGCGCGTTCACTTCAAATGAAACGTGAAGGGATTCTCCAGTCACCGCTTTTGAATTACATGGTAAATTTGTTCTCATCAAGGACTACGAGGCTTAGACAGGTTTAGGTAAATGTTTGTTCATCAAGTTGTCACATGAGTGTCAAATTTTGTAGAGCATTCCTCCAGGAGCTCCTTCTCTGTGTCTTTAGCACCATGGCAAAGTCTATTAAAGAGCAGCTGAGAAATGGGGACGGTGAAGCAATGGCATCAACTCATTGCGCAGATTTTACTCCCAACTTTGTCACTCTAAGGAAATGCAGCACTCGAATGAGCCATCTCTGTGCTCTGTCATTGTAGTTTCGTTGAAGTTAATGTCATCCCAACAAGGAATCAGCCAAGCGGTGTCCAAACATCACTCTCCGGAACTTAGTGTGCAGGTTTGTAGGAAATGCGCCCCGCCGGGTGGAGTGGGTTCCTAATAAACGTTGTCTGTAGAAAATGAGTGTCCTAGCTTTAGGGGATGCCACTGAATAGGGCCAGACATTGACAATTTATTTTGGCGTCTGAACACTCAATCTGGAGGGATGGATAAGGTGTTTGTTTACTTGGGTTTACTTGGGACCTCAAACTAAATTCAGTGTTTTGCCGTTTTAAATGGCTTTTTTTTTTTTTTTTTTTTTTTTTTTTTTTTTTTTTTTTTTTTTTTTGTGGCCACATGGTGTTGCTATGCTTTCCTTTGGGGTTGTTCACCAGCAGCAAAAGTGAAAATACCCTGACACCTGGCAAAGCCACCTCTTTGCTTCCTTTCTCCGAGGACCAGTCTGGGAATAGTGCCTCCCTCCTGCCTGCTCACATACCCTCACAGATTTTATTCTGTATATGTATATGTATATACAATCTTGTGGATATTATACGTAATTTTAGGTAAATAGTTAAGAGTATGATTTCTTTCTTACGATCTTTTTAGACATCCTTACTTTTATCCTCCTCTCTCCTTTATTTATTTCTGTTCCTCTCCCTGGTAAAGTCTTCTTCCATTTCCTATCGCCACCGCCTTTAAATAGTTTGTACCCTGATATTCCCCTATCCTCACAAGAGCCCCCCTTTATGTTCCTGGTTTCTGCAGTTACTCTAGGCTATATATTCATATCAGAAGACTTCGAGGGGATGGCTGTAGTTGTCTGTATTCATGTTTGCAACTATTACTTTGTTCTTTTAATCTACTTGTCTGTTTTTGTGCCAGCATCATACTGTTTTTTTTTTTTTTTTTTACAATGGTTCTGTAATATATCTTGAGGTCTGGATTGGTAACTCCCCCAGCATTATTGATCCTGCTCAGGATTGTTTTGGCTATCTGGGGTCTTTTGTGATTCCATGAGAAAAAATATGTATATATTTCTGTGAAGAATGAGGCAGGGGTTTTGATTGTGATTGCATTAATATGTAGATGGCCTTTGTTAGAATGGTCATTTTTACAGTATCAGTTCTATCAACCCATGAGCACAGAATATCGTTCATTTTCTAGTGTCTTTATCTCTTTCTTCCAAGATTTAAAGTTTTCATTGTAGAGGACTTTGACTTCGTTATTTAGGTTTTTTCCTAGATACTTCATTTTCTTTGAGGCTGTTGTGAAAAGGGCTGTATCTATGATCTCTTTCCCTATATGTTTGTTATTCATGTAAAGAAAAGCTATTGTTTTTTGGTAGTTGATTTTCTCTCCTGCCACACAACATGATAATAATTTGTGAGACTCGCAGCATTGGTCATTTTGGTCTTATAGTTTTGAAATGTGGATATATTTTTGTTGCTTTGAGATCCATGTCAAACCTAGTTGTATCACCTTTTCCCATAAGAACTAGCGCGAAGGGGTTTGGGGCAAATATTTTAACTCTTTTTCTTCTTTTGTATGTCTAATTTTATGACATGCCTCCTTTTTTCATAGCAACAAGGAGCTCAGCCTCTTCCAAGATAATTTTATTGCCTCCCTTTAAAAATGGAGAGTTCCAGAATTTTCCCTGAAGTTTGGAATCAGGTCCATGCTGAGCATGATGTTATTGGTGGGGATACATTGTGTTCTTCGGAGGAGGCTGACAGAGGTCCTGTATGAGACTCCCCCATTTCCTCTCTGGTTTGGATGACAATGTACACGGACAGAGTGTAGACATCTGATCTCCTTCCTTGTTTTTCTCAAGAGATGGAGTTTGGACAATCAGTGGAATGGGCCTAGTGGTAGTACACTATTCAGAATCTCTGATGCCTTCTTGAAATGAAAGCTTTGCCTACAACCTTAAACCTGTATCATGGTGCTCACAGAACAGAAAGGCAGAGCAAGTGTTCACAGAGTTCTGAGTATCTGGAAATCTTTTTGCTTCATGCATTTAGATTTGTTTTCTCTTTTGGAAAATCTGATAAAATTTGCTTCTCAAAGAGTCTAGGGATCTAGGCTTAGAGACTACATTGTTTTTTAGTTCATAGATAGTATAATTTAGGTCTTTGTCCTTAACTCACTGCCATGGTGGTTAGTCGTCAGCTCCAGGATTTGTCCTGGGCTTGCTAGCTGGGTGATTATGGCCGACTACACTTAGTCCCTCAAGCACCCTTTTCCCCTCTGTCGATAGGGGTGAGATCACTAACCCTTGGAGTTTGCTGTGATAGAAGGACTCTGGAATCTTGTGCGGTAGTCTTAATCTGATGTCTATGCTTTCTCACTTCTCCCCCTCCCCCCCTTTCATGGGGCCTATTCACTTCCTCCTGCAGAATCATTAAAATTTCTCCTGGACGTGCTATTTTGCACTGAGGTGGTAGAAAGACAAACCAAGCTTGTAAGGCACGTTCCGTGACTGTACGGTGTATGAGACAGCTTCAGCTTGCCTCTGTTTTCTGCCATCTTGTTCCCCCTTCTTCTCTTTCTAGTTCACATATTTCTGGCTGTATTGCTTGCAGATTGGCATAAATCCAGTTAGAACAGGTTTCTGTGCATGTATATATGTGTGTATGACACATGTGTGTGGGTGTGGAGGAGGTCAGACAAGGGTATTGGATCTCCCGAAGCTGTAGTTACAGGAAGGTCATGCGCCGTCTCATGAGGTGCTGGAAATCTGGGATCCTCTACTAGAGCAGCGAGTACTCTTCACCACTGAACTGCCTCTGCAGCCTCCATCGCCTGTATTACTATCAATTCTCCTTGGATATTTTTATTAGCTTAATATTATACCTGTTTTCTGGTTGAAATTCTGTTGATGGCTGTAGATGACCCAAAGATGTGGCTTAGCTCGTTGATAGATCTATACAGCAAAGGACGGATTTGTATGAGGCTCTGACCATGTTCATATCTCTCCATCAGTGCTCAGCTTAAATGTCATAGTAGCAGGGGTGGTGGCTGGGGGACTGGGCATTGGTTAAACTCATTGGTTTATTGGTTAAGCGGCAGCATTACTCTTGCAGAGGACCTGGATTTGGTTCCTGGCACCCACATCAGGTGGCTAGTAACTGCCTATAACTCTAGCTCTGGGGGATCCGACACTGCTCTCTTGCCCAGTGAGCACCTGCACATAATTTAAAATAAATATATTAAAAAAAAAGAGTGTCAGGAAGGATGTATTACCCCATCTGTTCCTGGACTGAAAACACAGAACAACTTAAAACATGCACATTATTACTAAGGTCCTATTGGAATAGTACACTTAAGAATTTTAGTGAAATCTGACCAGTTTACATTTACCTCGGTTGAAATATTTTTCTCATTTTGACGTTGCAAATTAAGTCTTTAGAGCCAGGAGAGCTTTTTTTTTTTGGGGGGGGGGAGGTTAACAACAATAGCACAATCAAAGTGCCTTTTGTGTGTAACACTTGTGACAGCACTCAGCAGTGTCTTTTTCTTTTCTCAGTTCTGTCAGGAGGACCTTTGCCTCAGGGACACGAGTTTGAGCTGTATGAAGTTAGATTTCACTGGGGAAGAGAAAACCAGCGTGGTTCTGAGCACACGGTTAATTTCAAGGCCTTTCCCATGGAGGTAAGAGTAACAGTCTTGTAAAAACCTCATTATGTAGTAAAGAATTCAGCAACTTACCGAAAATGCTTGTTTTGAAAGTAGATGTGTAATCCTTGAATTTTATGTTTGCACTAAGACAAATTTCAGGCGGGGCAGCTAATGAAGCCACCTGCCTACTTCCTGCGCTCGGAGTGAACAGGGGGCACAGGCCACAGAGCGGATCAGCACTTATGCCGAGAACATGCCCACCCCACACAGCCCTCCTGAATTGTTCCCTACAACACTTCTTTCGTCATGAATTCATATATGTTCTTTAACACTCAGTTGAAGTGAATGTCTCCTGTGGTACTTTTCCTGGGTTCCCTGCCTACATGGACTTCTTCATCCCCTTTATAATCTCCCACTGGACGTGATAGTGTCCTGCCGTACGCCCATCCCACAGACTGGCAGACGTTGAGCCCACTGACTTCTTTGGCTGTGGTGTTTTGAGGACAAGGTCTCCCATTCATCCCTCTGCTGACTTTTATCATTTGCTCACTGCCAGGCTCATCACAGAAGTTCATGAAGCTGGTGGGTTGCCCCCCTTGGTGCAGGACTTAGATTTCTTTCCATAGGAAATCTCGGTTCTCCCCAAGAAGCAGATGCTCATTGGTATCTAAGCACCTCCCTCCCACCCTTCCTCTTAGTCCTGTGGTTTTTAACCAATTTCTAAGACCTTACACCTTAACTAACACCAGGTCTCAACTTCACCTCCACAAAGAATCATAGACAACCACCTAACGGATGTTCTCTTTGGGTGCCTGGAAGACATTACAGAGTAAAGGTCATCTACCTGTTGAAAAAGAACTATTTTGAGGTTTGCTTACACTAGGCTTCTTTCTCTGTCATCCACACTGTGGATGCACTTCACATTAAGTATGAACTCAGTCCTCTGCAGAAGCCATGTATAGATCTGCCTCCATGATTAGAATCACCATTGTATAATTTTATACCCCTCTTATGCGGACTGGACAGGATTACCCTGGAATCTTTTTCGGGTTGTCTTAATCATTATTTGAAAATCTCCCCGGAAGCTCTAGCTAGCCCTTTTCACTCAAAAGAGACCCAAGCTTTCAAAGGGAGACGTGAAGTGCTTCAAGGATGGAGGAGCAACCTGAATGTGTGTGTGACTCACGCCTGCAGGAGTTCAGGAAGAGAAAGTGGCCTCAAGTTTCTGCTGAGGAAGGTTCCCTGCACCACCATGCTCGCTCTTTCTTTCTTTCTTTCTTTCTTTCTTTCTTTCTTTCTTTCTTTCTTTCTTTCTTTCTTTCTTTCTTTCTTT